GGCCAGGGTCTGGACAAGGTCTAGCTGGTACCAGATTTGGGTTGGTCAGGACATACCAGGCAAGGGGCAGAGGAGCCCAGTGCCTGGAAGGGCAGGAATGGAGACTCACACCCCACCTAGTCATGTCTCTATCTCTCTCTCTCTTTAGGTATCTCTGTCTGGAGCCATGCTTGTCTCTTTGAGTCTCTGTCTCTCTCCTGGAGCCCCAGTCTCAGCACAGATGTCCCTGGGGCTGCAGCCAGCGTTCAGAACGATGTCAGTGGGGGTAGTGGTGAGGGAGAGTCCCCAGGGAGGTGGGAGCTGCAGTGCCACGCACCCCGCCTACCAAACAGTGCTGGGGGAGGGGAAGGAAGTGGAGATGCAAGCAGCCCAGCCTAGGCTACTCCTCACAGAGACCCTGAGTCATGGAAGAGGCTGGGGGGCTGGTAACGGACACCGAGGGTCATAGAAAGAGGGGAAGGGCCAACAGAGGCAGTGAGACCAGAGACAGAGCAAGAGATACAGAACAGATAAAGTGGACTGGCCCAAGCTAGGCTAGAAAGAGGAAGCTGGACCCACAGAGACTGAGAGACAGGAGAGACTGAATCAGGGAGACTCAGGAAGAGGAAATGAATGGGGAGGGGCTGAAATGAGACAAATCAGAGAGCTGAGAGCCGGGGCACCAGAGAACCTGGGTGAGAGCGGAGACAGAGGAGGGGGCAGAGATGCGGAAAATTGAGGGATTAGGGCAGAGGCAAGAGAGTGGATGAGGGAGACCAGGGCTCAGACAGCCAGAGGACCACCACCCTGCGATGACCCCCCCCGTGTGCCCCCCACCCAGTGTGACAGCCAGAGGGCCACCCCCCCGGGGTGACGGCCCCCCCCCCCGCGTGCCCCTCACCCAGTGTGGACTCATGGCTCCTTTCTCTGTGCCTTGCCCAGCACAGGCTGGGGCACTGCTGTTCCCTGAGGTCCCTCACACCTCTACTCCAAAACCCACCACTCCTCACTTCTACCTGGTCCATCCCACCGCCAGCTTAGATCTTCTACCATCCCTGTCCTGGTGCCTACCCCTCTCTTCACCTTACCTATCAGAAGTCCTGGCCTCATCCCCAGGGGTCCTGTTAGCCTCCCAGAGTAGACAGGGCTCTAGATAGGTGGTAAAACAACGGTGATGCTGTCAGAGAGTTTTCTAGAACAGTGCTGGTGTGGTGGTGTGGGTTCTCTTGCAGGGTCTGGCGAAGACTGACCAAATATTTTGGTGGAATCCAGATGAACACAACACGCACAGCAGGGGGTCAGGGACAGAGGAGGTGAGGGGACAGAGTCAGGGAAGGACCCTAGAGGGGACATCGGGACTGGGTGCTGGGAGCTGGGCTGACACAGGGATCCCATAAGGGGCAGGGTCCGGCCAGGCTGGGGGAAGCTCGGGGCTCCAGGGGCATCAGGCACGGTGCTAATTCAGCGCCATCGATCAGACGGGATGAGAGCAATAAATTATTGTGACAAGACGCAATCCTGGCCCTAGCACTGCCGCCGAGGCGGATCGATCCCTGTCCCCAGCTCCGCACCAGTCCCATGCCCAGGCCTTGCCGGCTGGGACTCCTCTGCCCACCTCTTGGTCCATTCTCCTCGCAGTGCACACACTCCTCACTGTTGGCCGGGCCATGTGGTTGCCCTGGATAAGAGACAGGACTGGAGAGGATGCAGAGGGAAAAGTCTAACCCCTACATAACCCTGGCCTTGTCGTTTCCCTCAGTACCATCTTACCACCACCTGTAGAGGGAGAACTGATGTGGTGCCCATTTCACAGATGTGAAAACTGAGCCTTGGACAGGGAAAGCTAACTTGGACATAGTCCAACAAGGATGAACGATGAAGCCTGGACTTGAACGCACGTCAGGATGATTTCAAGGCCCCAGATTCTCTACTGTCAAAGAGGAGCACAAGGAACAACGATGAGAAGAGTCAGATGCAGATAGTAGAAGACACAGAGAAACAGAGAGACTCGGGTGTGCAAAGAGACATGGAGCTAAGCCAGGTGCTACACACCTGGAGTCCCCGATGCTTGGAAGGCTGAGGCAGGAGGCCTGCTTGGGCTACAGAGCAAGTTCAAAGAGCCTGAACAATCGAGCAAGGCTCTATGGAAAACCTGAAAAGGGCTGGAAGCCTGTGATCCCAGCATCTGGGAGGCAGAGGCTGGCTGCCAGCCAGGTCAAGGTCAGTCTGAGCTATATTATCAAAGGCAATGGGAAAGGTGCTGGGGTATAGGTCACTGGGAGAGTTCTTTCCTGACATGCATAGCCCAGGACTCTGGGTTACATTCCCAAAATCACAAGGAAAAAAAAAAAAAGAGGAACAAGGAGAAACACTAAAAGACACAGGGAAACATGAAACAGAGACAGGCAGGCTGAGACAATGGGACAAAGGGAGAGGGTGGCAGAGGCAAAAGCAGGTGAAGCCAGAGGACCCTGTGGAGCGGGGTGGGGTGTCTGGGAATGCTGGGAGCGGTGGTCTTGGGTTCCAGGAGTCAGAGTCTGTGACAGCCAAGTGCGGCAAAGGGCTGGGCACTCCTGACAGCAAGAGGGAAGCCTGGAAAGTTCTTAGTGATGGAGAAGCAAGGGTTGCTAAGGTGAGGAGATGAACAGGTGTGTCTGCAGAGGAAGGTTACATGGGCAAGAAAACCTGTTTGGCTGGGAAGTCACATGGCTTTGGTCTGACTCAATTCTTCCACAGCGCCCAGTTTCTGGGACCTTGGAGAAAGGGTTTCTTCTCCTTGAGCTCAGTTTGTTTTTCTGTAAAATGGGGACCCGAGTCAGACACCTGCTTTAGGATGGTCCCGTGAGGATGAGTGTGAGTGTGGACGATGCCCTGTCACAGAGATGGTTTTAGAATCAGCTGCCGTTGTCAGTGCCGTCGGCATCATCACCAGCATGGGGAGGACAGGCCCCTGGGTGTGTGTGTGTGTGTGTGTGTGTGTGTGTGAATAGGTGCTGCTCAAAGTTAGCTGTGACATTCAGCAGTGACATCGCCTGGACACTTAGAATACACCCAGCCTTAAGTCAGGTGTATTGGCACACTCCTTTAATCCCAGGACTGGGGAGGCAGAGGCAGGTGAGTTTGAAGCCAACCTGGTCTACAGAGTGAGTTCCAGGACAGTCAAGGCTATGTACAGAGACTTTGTCTCAAAATAAATAACTATCCCCAGTGTCTGAAGTGGACCGAGCATTTTATTTATTCATTAAGGCAAGTGCTCTACCACTGAGCTACACCCCAAACCCACTTTTTAACTTTTCATTGTGAGAGCCTCACAAAGGCAGGTTGAACTCTGACCTTCCTGCCGTAGCCTCAGAAGCAAATGGGATGACAGGCCTGTGTCACCAGGCCTTGCTTAAGAGGAGGTCTCTATTGTGTAGGGAGGAGGTATGCGGGTGACCAGGCACAGCCATCACATGTGGTTAGCAAAGGCTACAGGCATACTCTCAAGCAGCAAGAATGTCAGCACGTTCCCTAAGGAGCTACCTAGGTAGAGATGGGCTATGAGAAGGGACAGGTGCTTTTGGGATGGACCACACTAGAGACAAGATAGGATCTGAAGGTTTGGTCCTTCAGATGTGAGCACCAAGCAGAGAGGGCAGGTAGTGAAGATGAGAGGGTCCCTTGAAGTGGAAGCTGGCTCCTAAGCCTCACCATGACGCTTGCCGGGTGCATGGGGTAGGGATTGGCCCAGAAGTCCATGTCCCCTTTTGGAGCACGATGACAAAGAGTTTAGTGACAGAGAACAGCTTAAAGAGCTGTCAGGCGGAGACGGGTGAGCGGTGACGCCTGGGGTGCACAGGCGAGGAGCAGGCATTGGTGGGGAGGTATGGCTGTGACCCGGGCAGCCTGCAAAGATGACCTGAGACACAGGAGAAGAAAAGGGACTTTGGGGGCCTGAAGCACAGGTGTGAAGAAGCACTTACAAGGCGGGGGTGCAGAGCCCCGTGGCCCAAAGACTGGAAGTGACTGAGGGCGGTAGAGATGACAATTGGGAGTGTCATGCATGCAGGCGTGAGAGAGAGGCTCTTCGTGAGGAGGCCTTGTGGGTCTGGGCAGGCAGGGCTATCAGGAAAGATACACATGATAGCAGCTAACAGATACAGGTGAGCTCTCAGGGGCCTGGGGCTGGAAAACAGGTGGCCATGGTGTCTCTGTAGTCTGGAACCAGTGGGACAGGCAGGTTTGAAAAATAAGATAGCAGAAAGTGTATTTTTGTTTTGCTTCTGAAGACAGGGTCTTCCATAGCCCTGGCTGACGCTGCTACACAGCCAAGGATGACCTTGAACTTCTGATCTTCCTGCCCTCACCTCCAGAGTGCTTGATTTACAAACCACTACACCTGGTTTAGGGAGTGCTGGGGATGGAACCCGGGGCATCCTGCTACACAGGGGCTCTGTGAACTGAGTTTCAGCCACTTAAGTGTGTTGATGTAAAAGATAGGCAGTAGTGTGTGTGTGTGTGTGTGTGTGTGTGTAGGGGGGCACGTGAGTGCTCCTAGGTGGGAAGGTCAGATATAAGGGTGGCTGAGGAGGGTGGGTGGGGTCATGCTGTAACTGAAGGCTGTGTGCAACGGAGAGGAAGCATGGGTTAAATATAAAGATGTGAGAAACAAATACGCCCAGAGAACCGAGGAAAGGTTTGGAGTGTTGCAGGGAACCCTGTGATGTGAAAAATGAAATTGGCCACAGATTCAGGCAGAGGTGCAGCTTCTGGAAAGCAGGTGTAACCTGGGAGATCAGGTATAAGAGAGGGCTCCTGTTCAGTGAGAGGCTTTATGCTAATGAGCATCTCTGGGGCAGGCTTGAAGGGAACAAGGGCTACCTGAAAGGACCTGAGTGTGCTTGTCCTTGTGAGCCCCAGCAGATGAGGGGAACAGGTGATAGGTACAAGCAGGCCGCAGGTGGAGGTCCAGATGTGGAGAACTTGAAGGGGTCACATGGATGGGACAGGTGAATTGGTTGGGAGCCGGTGGAGGGTGTTACCTGAAGCACAGGTGTGCTGTCTTCCCAGGAGCCAGTCGGAGCTCACAAGTTCCTCCCGCGGCTCCAGCTCTGGGCTTGGGGAGGCCTGGGCCTGCCGGGCAGCTCGGGCTCCTGAGGCTGTTTGGCGATGCGGAGCGCGTCTGGGCCTCGGCGGGCCGGCGGGGCGGGGGGAGCGGGCGGGGGGGCCGTTTAGCTGTGATAGATCCGCGCGCCGCTTGTCTCTTAATCTCCGGAGCGACCGATCGATTCGCTATTTCCCTTTGTTGCCAGAAAATTCGATCCTGGGCCTGGAATTAGGTCCCCGGCTTAATCTGAGCGGAAACCAGCGAGGGGGAGACAGAGATACTGGGAGAGACAGAGACGGAGAGATAGTGAGAGACCGAGAGATGCCTGCCGAAGAGGGAGAGGCGAGGAGATAGCTGTGCATGGGAATTCTGGGAGGGGTAGTCTAAGAGTTAGTGCCTCTAGGTAAGAGAGACGGACAGATGAAGAGTTACAGAGACCGAACCTGGGAGTTAGTCACTCCTGGCCCCTGGGAGAGCGGGAAGAAATCACAGAGATGTAGACAGAGAGACAGTGAGGAGAGACAAGCAGTGGAGATACGGCAGAGGTAGCCCCACAGGGCGGGTGGCTGTGGAGGAATGATGAGTAGACAGTGTGTCTAAGACCTCCCCACACCAAAGTTCAAGTCTAGGCACTCCTTGCTCCCAAATGGGTTGACCCCAGGTCTGGTTCCAGTAACCCTTCCCACAGACCATGAGATCCCTCACACCAAATACTAGATCCAGTTTTGTAGTCGCTCAGCCTTGAACTCCCGCCCCAAACCAAGATCACCTCTCCACCCAATCTAGATCTCCTCTCTCCTAAATTCAAATCCATGGTACCGACCACGAGCCCCGAAGAGGCAGCTCCATTCTTAAATAGCTAGCGCTTGACTCTAGGCTCCGAGAGCTGCAGGTCTCAAATATTCAAGCCCTCGGACTTGACCTTTAAACCCCAAGGTCCTAAATGTCCAGACTGCTCAGGCTCAAATACCCAGACCCAAGCTCAAGTCGGCCTCCAGTCCCCATCCCCAAACAGTCACACTCTAGTCTGTCCTGATCCCATTTCAGAGGCTTCCACGCTCACACCCTTGCCCCCCCCCCCCACACACACCTTGCAACCCAGTCTCAAGGTCCTGCTTCCAGCGTTCATCCCTCCCACCTCGCACCCCGGTCCACAATCTGCTCCAGGGGGATTCGCTCCCACCTCCCCAGAGTTAGGCGCAGCCGCACCCCGCCGCCGAACCCCAAGCTCCCGCGCCTGGGGCACCATCCCTGCCCCGGGGTCTCTGGGGAGCACCTCCCGGCCCCCC